ATTGTAGGAATGAACCCCTTGCTTTGCTCATCCGTGCATTCACATTTACATCAGATACTCCTTCTTTCTCTATGATGCAGCCCAAGTACGTAAAACTCTCCACACCTTCCAGAGTTTTTCCATCAAGTGTGATTGGGTTGACATTCTCTGTGTCGTATTTCAAGATGTTACCTTTTCTCTCGTGTATGTTGGAGCCTAATGACGCTGAGGCTGCTGACACATTAGTTGTCTTGACCTGCATTTTTTGCTGTGTATGAGATAGAAGAGCTAGGTTATCTGAGAAGTCCAAGTCATCCAGTTGCATACAATCTGTCCATTGTATTCCGTGCTTCCCATCAGATGTAGAGGTCTTTATAATCCGATCAATAACCAGAACAAATAGAAAGGGGAGAGTAAGCAGCCTTGTCTGATTCCGGTCGTCATTTGAAATGCATCTATCATCTGTTCTCCATGCGCCACTTTGCAGTGTAGTCTTTTGTATGAATTCCGTATGATGTTGACGATCTTTCCGGGTACATCACAGTTTCTAAGAAGATTCTATGAGGTTCTTCAACCTATGCTGTCAAATGCCTTCTCATGGTTAATGAAGTTGATGCATGGTGGCGAAGTTCACTCAACTGATTGTTCATCAGTGATTCGTAGCGTCGCCATTTGATTTATGCACGATTGGTCCTCACGGAATCCGGACTGATAATCTCGAAGCTGTGCGTCTACTAAATCTTTCATCCTGTCCAACAACACTCTGTTGAAAAGTTTTTCTGATACTGACAGTAGCGTGATGCCTCTGTAGTTTTCCCATTTGCTCAGATCTTTTTTTAGGGATTTTGATGAGATATCATTCTTTCCAGTCTGTAAGTGGCACTTGTTCTTCCTCCAAAATCTTCCTGAATAGAACGTGAAGCATCTTTGCAGTTACTTCTATGTCTGACTTCCGTGCTTCAGCTGGTATGTTCTTTGCTCGAACTTCTGATTTTTCGCTGTTGATTTGTCTGATTTCCATTTTGATTTCTTCGATTGTTGGTGGAGTGGCATCAATAGTAAGGCCTGTAGATGCTGCTTCGATATCCAGTGGATTCAATGGAGCTGGTCTACTCAAGAGTTCCTCGAAGTGTTCCACCCATTGGTTCCTCTTTTCTTGAGTCTCGGTGATTGTCTTGCCTTCTTTTTCCTTGATCGATGTCGCTAGTTTACTATATTTCCCCTTTAGTTTCTTTGTTGTGTCATATAGCTTCCTTATATTTTCACTTCAAGCTTTGTCCGTTGTCGTTGCTGGCTCTTCCACGTAATTGTTCTTGTCAGCTCTGATGCTCTTCTTCACTTTCTTCTTTGCTTTTGTGTATTTAGCTTGTGCCTTGACTTTCTCTGTTCTTGTTCGGGAGTTGTTAATTGTTGTCTTTTTGTTCATTTCTAGAATCCATAACAGAGTTTCCATAGGTATCAATTCCTTATGATGATGCTTCTTGAGTCCAAGAACCTCCTGACATGTTGAAGTTAGTACTTCCTTGATCCCTTTCCAATTGTCCTCCATAGTAGTTCCCTTCTTTTCCTTGAATATACTTTGTAAAGCTTGGAATTTGTTGCTGAGAGATATCTTGAACTCATTGAGTTTGACAGTATATTGAAGAATCTTCGTAATGTTGTTCCTCCAGTTGTTCAGTGCTTCTTTAGTTTCAGCTTCATTTTGGCAACCACCACTTTGTGGTGATCTGAAACTATGTCAGCTCCTCTCTTGATTCTCAAGTCTTCCACTGACCTTCTGAATCTCTCAGTGATGCAAATAGGATCGATCTGATTCTCTGTAGTGTGATCCAGTGATACCCATGTAGCCTTATGTGTGCGTTCGTGGGTGATTATACTGCCACCTGCAATCATTTTGTTGAATGCACGTAAATTCGCAAATCTGTCACCAACCATTCTCGTTCGTTTCTCCTAGTCAGTCCTTGTCATCCCATGAGTTCTTGATACCCGCTGTTGTCCATTCCAACCTTGACGTTTAGGTCCCCGATCAGAATGGTCAGGTCGTTTCCTGAGCATTACTCTTCGATCGATTGCAGCCTTTCAGAAAACTAATCTTTGTTATTTTCATTGCTATCGGTGGTTGGTTTTTAGTGGCTCAAGATCTGACTCCAAGTAGATCGTTTGCTGCATATTATCAAAATGTGCATTTGGCCGATCCTCGTATGTAATCATCGACCTAAATCACGTTGGTGAATGACAGAACTTAATAAGTCAAATACGTGAATGCATTTTGAATACTTATATTTCATACAATCGTTGATTGGAAAGCGAAGCAAAACAGAATGACGCACAGTGGAGAATGCGAGTGAGCCAACTCGATTTATTCATGTGTTAATTGATATTTAATGTAATGAGTCAGATACGAAATCAACACACATACGTTTACATACCAAACAGTAAAGGTAAATAAACGAATAGATGACAAGGTCAAAATGTGGTTTGAAGAGAATGAATAGATTGGTCTGTCCGGAAACTAGAACAATCCATGTGGGCTCGATATAGGACCAGGCACTTCAGGAGCATAACATTGAATGCGTTCATTGTGACCCCCTAGTGTTTTGTTTTGAAGGATGTTTCGAAAATCCCTGATCCATAAGATTCCCATTCTGAGTTCTTTTAGAAATTCTATGGATAGTATCAGCGCAACTCTTTGGGTGTATGAAGCATTTTCTTCATGACCAAAGTACAACAGCCCTTTTCCCGAATCTATCCTTTTCTGTCCATTTTCGGTCCGATAGGTATCACTGATTCCGGGCACCGTCAAGTTGTATCTTCTCATTTCCGTTGCTATTTGATTGGTCCTCCTAGTCTCCCGAATTGTTCGGACATTCCATGTACCTATATTAATTGTTGTTCTGGTTGTTAGAAGAGGTGTTGACCTCATTTCTTCTGTGGAATCTTGGCTTTCACTATGAGGTGTCATAATTCCTCCAAATGAAAGTCGTACAACTTGGAGGGCAGAGTTTAATTTTTTCTGGTTAGCGTTTCCTTACCAATTTGTTTTGTACGGGATAAGGTTGATGACAGCATGCCCAATTTTCCTCATTTGTGTGGGCTTGGGACCGCTAGTAACTCTAGAAGAGCTACAGGCGGAGTTACAGTTCTACATAGGACTACCTACGTTAAAAAACTAAGTTAATTAATTCCAGGTAGCATGGATGGTAGTTCAGTGATCAATGAATTGATATAAATTCAGTTTATTATACTCACTACAATCACATACATAAATTAAACTATTTCATTAATTGTTCTTATTAGATTTGTTGGTATATTAAGTAACATGTAATTCATTATTAACAGTACTAGATAATTATATGCTGAGGTTGTCCATCTGTCAGAAACTTCAACATTGTATAACTTTCATTACAAATGGAATAAATAAATTCTAGTATACATGTATATTCTATACTTAATGATCATTTACATTATTATAGATTTACTTGTTCATATATTTTACTAGAATAAAGTGATATACTACAGTGAACAAAGGAACTTTTATGCACATAGATAATTCTTACTGATAATAAGATTTCGGTCTGATACTAAAGCCGAACCTACATGAACACCAGGATTAGTGCTAAATTCAAAACTACTTTAATTTGAGTGTCAAGAATCAATTACTAATTGTCTTAGTTCTAATTCGTTTCAGTTTATATTTTTAGGTGAATGGCCTAAATCGACCGTGAATTTAGTGGAATGTGAACAATGGGATTATCACCTAAGTTAGATATTTAAAGTAAAGTAAGATGTGGCTACCGGTAAGATTTCGTAGTTCAACCTCTAAAGTAATTACCTAACCAGACTATACTTTAATCAAATAGATCAATACTAAATAGTTCAACCTACGTCGATTTAATTAACAAAAGTATATTTACTTTAGTAAGTATTTATTTCATTTTCCTAACTGATTTAATTGACTGGTTATACTAAATTTTATGATGGATCGCTTGTTGATAACTAACACCACAAATCATTTATTCATTATCCCAATATTACTGACTACATTCACAATGTCGATATTATTGACAAGTCCATACATAATCATCTTAAAAAATTCGTTCTAGATTACCGATTGTAAAGCTTGGAGAATGCTGGGGCCGAGAGGTAATCTCTCCGCCGAACCATTGTACCTAACTTTTGCGACAAAGTAACGTATGTAATAAATGGGACCAATTCGTTATTTTGTTTAAGTATACTTGAAGCAAAACTTTATTCTTAGCAGTGATAAAATTAAACAATGAAATTTCTTGCCTTTGTTACTGATTATAATGATTTGCTTCTCAATATGTATATTACTGCTGAGATCTAGGTACATTCTACTGGAAAGTATGAGATGAGAAGAAACGCCGATAGAGGTTATCTTCATAACAATTCTCATTTACATGCACTATATATGATCATTTGGCTGTATTTACAACTGATCATCCTTTAACTGATAGGGATTTCGATAAATTTCTGTAGATTGCTTCACAATACAAAACAACACGTATTTACGCCTTTTTAACCCATTTTCTGAGTTGGCATAAGTTAGTTCCCACAATAAATATCAGTATACATATTATAAATTATAAGTTGCATGTAGATTATATACATCGGTTTGTCCAACTAATTTTTAAACTTTTGACCATCAGTCTTTTAATGATAATTGTTTTAATAAAACATTATATATATATATATGCAAATATGTAATACGATAAAATGACTTTGGATGTAAGTAAATCGAATAGAAATGACGCTAAATAGGTGTCCAGGTGATTTGAGCTATGGCCATCAACTTTTATTACTAACGGTCACATAAACGGTTTATTTACAGAAGGAAATGTAAATTAAGCTCAAAAAGTAATTACTATAGATATATCAATTTATTCTTCATACATTTCGGTTTGATTTGGAAAAATGAAACACCGAATTCATAATATTTATATATCGAATTACATATTTATTTGGTTGCAAGTTTTCTACGAAACGTATTTGAATACATTTTAGCCTGCGAACATTCTCTGTTGTCAATAGAGTCCAGTTTATTAACTGAACAACTCATAAATGAAACTTCACAGCCTCTACATGAATTACAAAGTTTCTTCAATTCTTCAATGCCACTATAAGAAGATGAAATGACCTTTTCGTTCAGACCTATTAAGTAAAATTTGAAAAAAAACAAGTATCAATAGAGAAACACAAAGTTAGGCGAAACATAGTAACTGTGACTCATTTAAAGACCATATTTATGACGAGAATTTCAATGAATTTGAATAATTATGTAAGTTCTGCTTAAAATTTTACTGCTGAATAGAAATACGTACAATATGGGAATATCAACTATTTTCTTCTAGTTTCCCTTGAAAACATGTGTTACTATGCCTTTTTGTCAAAAATACTGTGAATTATTGTGGCCGGAAAATTATATTTGACATAGTCATTTATTTAAATAGACTATCGGGTGTTCATTACCTTTTCTCTTTCGGTGATTTTTCATTTAATGTTATGAAAGCCCACCATTGGGATTCAAACCGTTTATTAGGTTAGGTTGTAGTGCATTTGCTCAAATCATGCGAATTAATTTTGCAGATCTCTGAAAAATTTAAGATATTGCACTAATAATGAGTTAATCCTTGGTTACTGACTTAAACTACTAAAATTATTACTACCATCAGATTATAATAAAAATTATATTCAATCTTTATATATCTCTACAAATCACCTAAATTAATAATCGATTGATTTTTTCTAAATAATCGATAATCTAAGGGCTAGTAGAAATTCTAAAAAAATGAAATCCATTTGCGTATTCTAGCACTTACCAAGACAACGCTTTGAAATTAAAGCGGAAAGCAAACAATGTCTAAATAATACTTCTAGCCGTTTTGTACAAGCTGAATACGAAGATGAATTGGTAATAACAAATTTGACTAAGAGTATCAATAGGATAACATTAATCTAAATTAGAATATGGATTCATATAATTATTAAGCAATTATAAGAAATATAACATAAAAATATTTTATCACTTGAACTTGGAAAAATATACGAACATAATAGTGTTAAATTGTGACTACTGAGAAGCTCCTAATTGTCATGTAATTTATCCTTTAATTAATCATCTTTTGTATATACATCAAAATTATTTTGAATAGAATTATTCAAACAAATAAAATTACTATTATCAGAAGGGGTTTTGTAGACATTATTGTAATTTTAATAGTTGAGATCATGAATGAAGCTAGACCAACATGGAAAACCTGGAGGCACCGTACGGCTGTTTCGTCCTATTGTGGGACTCCTCAGCAGTGCGCATCCACGATCCCGTCCCGCGAGATTCGAACCCATGACCTATTGGTCTCGCGTACAAACGCTTAACCTCTGGACCACTGAGTCGGCATCTGATAATGTTAATATCTAACTTCAACTAATCCACGAAATTGAGAGACACATCCACCATTGTTTTCAGTGAGTTACTATCTCACAACAGTACTACTGTATTAATGGTTCTAGTAATATGATCCAGTTATTAACTCTTAAAAATTGGTTTCCTATAACATATTTTAGAAAAACAAACCAGATGAACTTGTAAAAACTTACTTCTGTGATTACCTTCCGATTTATGTATAAAAACTTGTAATATCTAGATATTTATATCATCAATGATTAGTTAATCACCGAATAAATTGTTGATATTAAAGAGAAACTCTGACCTTAATTATTCTTTTAATAACTTCAGTTTGAATATGATGATGTCTGTCAAAATTCAATCGTTTTATGCACTAATATATTTTAAACTATACTGAATGTGGAAAATATTACCAAATGATTTATAAAGACCATTTACTTTGAATAGCCTTATAAGTATCCTGTGAGTTGGTTATAACTTTTGAAATTGTAACGTCAACATTAATTATAATGTTTTTTGCGATAAAACTATATACTCAATGAAGTGAACTCAGACTAGACTTTTGACATTTTCACTGCACCCTCTTATTATCAATCTAAAAGTAAATTATTTACCAGTCTTAGTTGGATAAAATAACCTCGTGATTTTTAGAATATTATGGTCAAATATTTGAACCTTCATCTAAATTTGATCTAGTAGTTTCACAAATTTGGGCGCCGAGTTTATGTGAGACATTAAGGAGGAATAATGTATTTGCAAAATCTCAGCGATTGAATTTGAAGTAAATCCAACGTTTCATCTGGCAATCTGGTCCAAGCTTTTTCAAGGAATTATAATCAAATATAAAAAAATATCGAGTATAAATAAGTACATAATTCTCTGTTAAACTATATACTTAATAGGTCATCCAATCAACGTTAACAATGTTTAAATTAGGTATTTGCTTTAGTGTGTATGAACATGTGGTGTGAAACGAAAAGTATGTTTAGACGATAGATTGTGTGTGTACGTAAGTGATGTTAGAATAAATTTCATTCACTATATATTTGGTAAAAACTTAGTTCCGAATCATCCAGAAAACTGTAAAAGTATAATAAAAATTACAGATTGTTGACTTTCTTCATAACCCATTTCATTGACACCAGTTAGTCGGTGCAACTGTAATTACTCCTTTGTTTTTTTATTTACTTATTATTTGATTGACTTTTCAATTGTCTTGCACAGACTTTTTCATTAAGGTGTTTGGTAACTCAAACACAAAAATACTGATAAATTTAATCAATGCCTAGTTATATATATAAACCACTTGAAAGTAGTACAAATTACAGATTGTAACCGTAATGAGAATAACTGGATACTGGATTTAGGCTTTAGGAATCGAAGTCAAGATAAAAAACGGATGCCCATTGATGACAATGAATGATGCTCACACTGTATTCCAAATATAATGAATCTTTGAAACACAGATAGTAAAATTTCAACTCAACAACTAGATGGTTCCGTTCCCACGTTGCGGCTTAAGTATGTGGAATATTGTCCTGTATAAAGTTAGGAATGGAATCTGCTAAGATTTCGCTGCTAAGAGAATATAAATATCCAGTGCTTTCAAGATTTGAACGATTTTTCATCTGGTTTTATTTTGTGACAGAAATTGTCGAGTCCATACAAGCCACATATGTAATTTATCATAATGTTGATCTCTTGCCAAAACACGACTCACCTTACTCGAGACGGACATAGTTACAGTTTACCATTAATTCCTTTGATTAAAGATATCGATTGTACGAAATTCCCAATATTTAAAGTGAACACAAATTTATATACTTTACAAGATGAAAAAGAGCAGAAAAACCGGAAGTGAACAAAGTGACAATTATTATGTTATTCAGATAATTATGAGTGTCAACTGACATTTACTACTGAAATTTGAAAAAAAAATTTAAAATGATAAATTTAATAGGATAAGTACAAATATGGTGATAACAACTAATGGCCGACTTTGACACAGAATAATTATCAGCACAAGCTCAGTTATAAAAAAATCAATCGAAAGAAAAGAATAACACATAGAACGGATTAGAGAATAGAATGAATAAATAATTTCAGTAGAGAAAAGATTTCAAAGATTTATAGCAAAACAAAATTAAAATATAATGCTTAAGAAACACGATAAGAAAAACGACTAAAGCAAAAAATAGAAAAAATTAGCAAAGATTGTTGATAAAAAGCAATTCAGAAATAAAAGTGACAAAAAAACAAATACAATGCAATAAAAACACGAAAGTATAGATACAAAGATAAAAAAAGATTAATGAAAAAAATAAAGAAATTCAATCACTCACACACATTTAAATTCTGATGGGTGTATCATCGACAACAGATCGGCATCTTTACTGAGATCACCTTCGTAAATTTCATTTTGATCGGACATCACTGTCGATACAATTGTGACATCCACGTCAATATGTACTGTTGGGATTTCGACACGTGTACACCCTCACACATTTCAGATGAACTCACACTGGAAATATACTGTGCTTATCGAGTGATCGTGTGCTCACACCGACGCGTTGGTTAACTGACGGAGATTGAGAAACCCAATGGTGGAGTAAACTCATCCACCAAATTATCATCACCATGTTCATTGCCAATACGGTCACCGACAAATCGCTAATGACCACGATCGTCGTCACCCTATTCCCCTCATCTACATCATCATGACGGTGTTCAACACCACCGATTCGTTTGTAACCTCCTCACGTACCACTTGGCATCGACGAACAGACACACATTGAAATGCTGATGAACGCGCTCACCCGCGATCACACCCAAACGTGTGTTGATGAGACGATCATGTGATATTGTGTTTTTGGTGATTGACTCGCGACCTCACACACTGTTGTAGGTCTCGACCGACTTCGCGGAATCACATGCCTCTAACACCGACTACCAGATGTTTGTGTTCAGTCGGCTTTGATGAGAGCACTCCGTTTGTCCAGAGAGCGTATGAATGCGCATCATGGATTTGCATCGCGACAACTTCATTCACTTGGTTGTTGGCAGTGTGAATGTGCGTGTTCTTGTTAATGATGTTTTTGTTTTTGCTGTTGATGTTGTTGTTGTTGTTGTTGTAGTTGTTGTTGATGTTGATGTTGATGTTGGTGTTTCGTGTTTTTGTGGTAGATTGTTTGCATGTGCAGGCGAAGCATGCGTGTGAGTGTTTGTGTGTGGCTGTTTGTAGGGATTGTGGTGATGGTGGTGTTGTGCGTTGATTGTAGTGTTTATAGTTGAACGTGGTGTGGTGTTGTGTTGTGTTCGGGTAGTGAAGTTGTGACCGTCGCGGAATCGGGGGTATAGCTCAGTGGTAGAGCATTCGATTGCAGATCGAGAGGTCCCCGGTTCGAACCCGGGTGCCCCCTTCACTTTCCCACAATCAATCACATTATAACACACAATATACTAATAAAACCAACAAACAACTCTCTCGACCCAATATCATGCACACTCACTCACCGTCAATATCAATCTCATCCGTCGGACGAGTACCGACGACAATTGCAATAGTCAATCACACAATACACTATCGATGTTTCCACATGTACAGGTTTCAATTGCATATTGATATTAAAATATATTTACATATGTACAGATGTGCAGCAACTCTCCTACAATCAATCCCGATTATGGTTAATTTGGGTTAAGCCCTTTTATTAACTTACTTAACAGACTATGTTATTCGAACAGTAACAATTCGTCTATTTCTCTGTACTATTATCATCTCTATCTTGTCTGTATAAACGTGTACTGTTGATCAGATGACAGTCTACGTACATATCTCTCTCTAGGTTAAATGTTGATAGCTTAAATATCGCCGGATGAATCGTTCTCCTCCGCATGTATATATGTAATCGAATCCTATTATTAGCCTTTGCCTTGCCTAGCTGTGCCTTATTCGATTTCACTATGATGTGCTTGTAGCTTTGTTATCTGTGCTATCCGCAAATGAACTGTAGTCGCCGCTTCTCATTGCCTTCTGATTTCAAACACCGTGGGATTTATATAATAACGGTTATCAAGTTGATTGATTAACGAAGCTAAGCCAGTACAGATGTATACACTGTGCATTCACTCACTCACTCACTCACTCACTCACTCACTCACACACACATGTATATTCTGATGTGTGTATCATCGACAACAGATCGGCATCTTTACTGAGATCACCTTCGTAAATTTCATTTTGATCGGACATCACTGTCGATACAATTGTGACATCCACGTCAATATGTACTGTTGGGATTTCGACACGTGTACACCCTCACACATTTCAGATGAACTCACACTGGAAATATACTGTGCTTATCGAGTGATCGTGTGCTCACACCGACGCATTGGTTAACTGACGGAGATTGAGAAACCCAATGGTGGAGTAAACTCATCCACCAAATTATCATCACCATGTTCATTGCCAATACGGTCACCGACAAATCGCTAATGACCACGATCGTCGTCACCCTATTCCCCTCATCTACATCATCATGACGGTGTTCAACACCACCGATTCGTTTGTAACCTCCTCACGTACCACTTGGCATCGACGAACAGACACACATTGAAATGCTCATCAACGCGCTCACCCGCAATCACACCCAAACATGTGTTGATGAGACGATCATGTGATATTGTGTTTTTGGTGATCGACTCGCGACCTCACACACTGTTGTAGGTCTCGACCGACTTCGAGGAATCACATGCCTCTAACACCGACTACCAGATGTTTGTGTTCAGTCGGCTTTGATGAGAGCACTCCGTTTGTCCAGAGAGCGTATGAATGCGCATCATGGATTTGCATCGCGACACCTTCATTGACTTGTTTGTTGGCAGTGTGAATGTGCGTGTTCTTGTTAATGATGATTTTGCTGTTGTTGTGGTTGTTGTAGTTGTTGTAGTTGTTGTTGATGTTGATGTTGATGTTGGTGTTTCGTGTTTTTGTGGTAGATTGTTTGCATGTGCAGGCGAAGCATGCGTGTGAGTGTTTGTGTGTGGCTGTTTGTAGGGATTGTGGTGATGGTGGTGTTGTGCGTTGATTGTAGTGTTTATAGTTGAACGTGGTGTGGTGTTGTGTTGTGTTCGGGTAGTGAAGTTGTGACCGTCGCGAAATCGGGGGTATAGCTCAGTGGTAGAGCATTTGATTGCAGATCGAGAGGTCCCCGGTTCGAACCCGGGTGCCCCCTTCACTTTTCCACAATCAATCACATTATAACACACAATATACTAATAAAACCAACAAACAACTCTCTCGACCCAATATCATGCACACTCACTCACCGTCAATATCAATCTCATCCGTCGGACGAGTACCGACGACAATTACTATAGTCAATCACACAATACACTATCGATGTTTCCACATGTACAGGTTTCAATTGCATATTGATATTAAAATATATTTACATATGTACAGATGTGCAGCAACTCTCCTACAATCAATCCCGATTATGGTTAATTTGGGTTAAGCCCTTTTATTAACTTACTTAACAGACTATGTTATTCGAACAGTAACAATTCGTCTATTTCTCTGTACTATTATCATCTCTATCTTGTCTGTATAAACGTGTACTGTTGATCAGATGACAGTCTACGTACATATCTCTCTCTAGGTTAAATGTTGATAGCTTAAATATCGCCGGATGAATCGTTCTCCTCCGCATGTATATATGTAATCGAATCCTATTATTAGCCTTTGCCTTGCCTAGCTGTGCCTTATTCGATTTCACTATGATGTGCTTGTAGCTTTGTTATCTGTGCTATCCGCAAATGAACTGTAGTCGCCGCTTCTCATTGCCTTCTGATTTCAAACACCGTGGGATTTATATGATAACGGTTATCAAGTTGATTGATTAACGAAGCTAAGCCAGTACAGATGTATACACTGTGCATTCACTCACTCACTCACTCACACACATGTATATTCTGATGTGTGTATCATCGACAACAGATCGGCATCTTTACTGAGATCACCTTCGTAAATTTCATTTTGATCGGACATCACTGTCGATACAATTGTGACATCCACGTCAATATGTACTGTTGGGATTTCGACACGTGTACACCCTCACACATTTCAGATGAACTCACACTGGAAATATACTGTGCTTATCGAGTGATCGTGTGCTCACACCGACGCATTGGTTAACTGACGGAGATTGAGAAACCCAATGGTGGAGTAAACTCATCCACCAAATTATCATCACCATGTTCATTGCCAATACGGTCACCGACAAATCGCTAATGACCACGATCGTCATCACCCTATTCCCCTCATCTACATCATCATGACGGTGTTCAACACCACCGATTCGTTTGTAACCTCCTCACGTACCACTTGGCATCGACGAACAGACACACATTGAAATGCTGATGAACGCGCTCACCCGCGATCACACCCAAACGTGTGTTGATGAGACGATCATGTGATATTGTGTTTTTGGTGATTGACTCGCGACCTCACACACTGTTGTAGGTCTCGACCGACTTCGCGGAATCACATGCCTCTAACACCGACTACCAGATGTTTGTGTTCAGTCGGCTTTGATGAGAGCACTCCGTTTGTCCAGAGAGCGTATGAATGCGCATCATGGATTTGCATCGCGACAACTTCATTCACTTGGTTGTTGGCAGTGTGAATGTGCGTGTTCTTGTTAATGATGTTTTTGTTTTTGCTGTTGATGTTGTTGT